AACGTTTTGCTGTCATTTTCTTTGGTCACATTGAATCCATAGCAAACTTGCCCGGGGCTGAAACCCATTGGTAAGACAGTAAGACACAGGGGGATACGTCAGGGTGAGCAAGGGGGCCTCCAGACCTAATTAATGCCAGGCTCCAGGCAAACTTGAAGGGAAGCCAGGGAGTCGAGGGCCAAGTGGCCAGAACAAGGAGAGGCCCCACGCAGAGGAGGGCTCCGAGAGCCAGGAAGGGGTCATGCACACTTCCACCTTCCTGGGGCCTGGCAAGCCACCTGCCCAGGCCCTGGGCAAATCTTCACTAGATGAATTTACTCATTACACATGTCTCCTGGGTGCTAATCACCGGGGAATAACGAGACGTTAAGGAAAAGCCCCTGCCTTCGTTAAGTTCACGATCTACGGGGGAAGAACAGGAACAATGCCCCAGATGACCGCAGATGGGGCTACGTGCTACCAAGCAGCCAGCCAGGTGCTGCAAGAAGGGTGCAGGGGTGGCCTACAAGGGGAAGGTCTCTTGGGCAGTGACATTTAAGCTCAGCACTGAGGATGAACAAGCCCTTCATGCAAAGACCTCCGGGCAGAGGGAACAGCAGGTGCCCATTCAGGAGGTGCCCGGAGCACCAAAACGGCCTAAGGGCTCCCTGATGCTAGAGCTGTCCCTTCAATTCTCCAGCACCAGAAATCATTTTTCAAAGACACAATCTGATATCACCTGCTGGCTCCAAGCCTTCAGTGGACCCCTGGGACTTGACAAAAGAGCCCCAGCTCCTCCACAAGACACAGAAGGGCCTCCATAAGCTGGGTCCCTTCTCCTCTGCCTCAGTCTTCATGCTCCAGCTACCACACCAGGCCTCCACTTTCAGTTTCCTCTACCTGGGCTGCCCGCTGACCCACCCACCTCTACCTGTACTCTAAGGCATGGCTCAGGTGCCACCTCTCCCAGGACAACTCACCTGCGGTGCCCTCACCTGTCAACACCCACATGCTAGCAGGCTGCTGCCCACTACTCACTACATGTCACTCTGCCATCTAAGATCAGGCACTCATTAAGGGTGGCACCTGGATCTCATTCATCTTGGTATAACCAGCGCCCAGCAAAGAGCCT